TTACGACAAATCACGGACGTTAGAATATAGAGATAATCGTTTTAGAATAAAGTCAAGTTTAGTCATTTAGTTTTACAATCAATAAACCACCAAATAGTTGTGTAAAATATCATGTTTAATTTGTTTGGATCAGCTGTCTGAAATTTTGAAATAAGTATTTTGGAAGATTTGCTTGTTTACATTTAAATCTCAACGCATATGAAAACATTTTTCATGCGTCCAACCACCAATCTAATCAATATTTACTTTTGAAACGCTCACATCAAAACTTTGGACATCCACGGGGCGGAGCCCGAGAGGAACTCAGGGACGTGAATAGTCCTATGACATGCCTAGGTATGTGGACAATCTTTGTGCTTAATTTGGGCTGTATCGGTTTAGTATTTTAGTCGCGACAGCCGGACAGACAGACAGACACCACCTCAATTTTATAATAGTATAGATAAAAATTATATTCAATGTTAATAGCCCTGAATACAACTTTGATGAGATTTTGCCTCCGAGTCAGTTTGAAAGGCACAGTAGGATCAGGTGTGAGGTTAATGTGAGGTATGACAACAATTTGACCAGAATCAATCAATTTTTCTGTGAAATTGCCCAAGTGAGTTACAACCAATCTTGTGCCATTAATTAAGCCCTACTTAGCTTTTGGATTCCTAATCAACCGATGGTGTTCTTTTTTAGTATGAGTTTATGTAGTGGCAATCCTGAAGGGCCTAATCAATTAAAAAATTCCAACGGATGAATCTGAGCATTTTCCGAACCGAATCAGAAAATATTGATTTCGTCAAAGTTGATGCATTGTTGCCCTTCATCATTACCCTTAATCCTTCGATTATCAATATCGACGATATAAGTATTGGTTGTTGTTGTTGTTGTTGATCGTATAGGCATTGTAATGCCGTCATCACGTCTCCTATAAATTGGATAGCAACGTGTATATTTTTTCACTTTGAAAATCTTTAGGGACACTTTTGGTATAGGTTCCTTCTTATGCAAGGGCTATTCTGGTTGATATAACCGCAAGGTCCGAGTACCATACTTTTTTGACTTTGAAAAGTTCGGAATCGGTGTCTTTATCGGGAACTTCAGCACAGATCAAAGAGGCTACATCTTTCGAACGCAATTAATCTGCATCAACAAAAATAGAAGAAGGTCACATTTTTTAAACTCAACAGCCGCGACATAGGCAATGACTACGCCAAACACTTGTTTTTTCTAGAGATCATCAATGAGTAATTGTAATTTTAGTTGAAAAGCTTATTGTTACAAAGTCAGGTCTATGTCCAACGGTCCAACCTTCTTTTATGGCCTAGGTTGAGAGGGGATTTCAGGCCATTTTGGATTACACGGGACTGTGACAAAGACATCTGGTTTGCCAAATCGGGCGACCAATAGAGGTTTCTGTTGTCTGTGGTCTTGATAGTTTTGAAGCATATTGCGGGGGACTGCAAATGTAGGTTGGAGTACATGACAAAGTCCACCTTACCTGTAGGCGTTCCATCATTTGTTACAAAAACATCAGCTACTAACTGCACTAACTGCAGGTGCATTTGATCTTCCAGGATGGAAGACCTTGAACGCCCCCGTGAATTATATTACTAATTTTAGCGGAAAGGTTTCTAGATCTTTGAGATATTTTAACAACTGAGCATGAGGGTTGTGCCTATCAAGCATGGCTTGCAGACACATTAATTCTCTGCGACACTTCCTATTCGCTTGATTGTCGGATACGATGTCGCAAGGCAGTGTCAAAATCTTTTGAAAAGGCCAGCGTAAGATAGGGCAACTTGAAGAGGTTGTACACTTGTATGATACATCTGGCCATGTACTTTAAAACAAAATCCCTCTACCAGAAATGTTAACAGAGCTTGGACCAAAACAAAAGCATTGAATTGCCTAGTATTTTCAAGGTAGTTTTTGTTTCAGCATGGTTTTGCTCTATGAGTGCTTTTAACAAAATTAAATAGGTGGTAAACTAACCTTACCTTCGTGGCACACAGTTGTATCCGCATCAAATCGGTTTGACGTGACGTTCACATTCAACGGTTGTAAGTTAGGCACAGGAGCTGTATTCTCCAGGAGCTGTTTTTGGTGTGCGAGCAGCTTGAGATTTTGCCTACGATTCCGTTGATCCAGTCTATCCCTTTCAAGTCGTTCTTGACGTTGCTCTTGACTTTCTCCAGCATACCCCCTTCTGTTAGACCACTCACGGATGAGGGTTGGTGTCCTTCCTCTCCCTGGTGGTCTGCCTCGGCGAGGCCCTATTGCACTTGGTATCATGTGTGGCTGAGACCCAAAAGGGAATGTTAAACTTGTGGCCAGGTCAAATGGAATGTAATTAGTTGAGGTGAAGTATTTGAAGTAACATTGAAACCTGTAAAGAAAAGTTGATTAAAGATGGAATTCTTAAATAAACAATGGTTGGGGTCAAAATGAAAGCTATGTCGTAAAGAAATATAAAAACTAAAGAATCCATTCGTTACTTACTTTTGAGTTTGTGACTAAGTATTTGTCCGGCTTCTCGTCATTGATGTAGCAAAAACAAATCACGAGAAGTAAATATTAGTTTGTTTTGATTAATTTGAATCACATGTTTCAGCTGATCGAATAACGTAAGTAAACATTCCAAGTATAAAATAATATACTTAAGCGTTAAGCATAGAATAAATAAACACCAAACACTGGTGGTTTCCAGCTTCGAAGAATACCTTAAGAACTTAACTTAAGAACGTAACTTATCTTTGCGTGTGAGTTGAACTTTAAGAATAAGTTCAACTTCGTTTAAATTTATTATTTTGGAGGTTGTCGGATTAAGTTCTAATGTCATATATTCATAGACGTCAAACTGTTTACTCTATGAATGAAAGAGCTTAGAAGAAAAGTAGTTCTCTTTGTAAACAACAACATTGTTGGTCGTAAAATGTAAACAGTTAAATAGTTATTTGTGTAACTAGTGGTGAAAGTGGCACTTTGCTGCACACGAGAGCAATGTTTACGCACGAGCCGCAGGCGAGTGTGGAATGATCTCGAGTGCAGCAAAGGCCTTTTTCACTCGTGTTACACATTATATTTTTCCTACAGCCACTATAAAGCATATAAATAATTAGTCTTTCAAACACTATGCAACACGTTTTTAGGTTCAACTGGCAACACAAATGGTGCCCTAGAGAAAGTAGTACCCGCGGTCCGTATCACTCCGCTATTTTTCCTCGGCAAGAAATGTGCTCCGCGTTTTGAGAATATAGTTCCGTATGTTTTTGTAATTTGAAGTGGTTTCCGCGCCTAAAAAAAATGCGTTAAAGGTATTTTCTTGTTTATTAAGATCGTAGGAATGGTTTAAAAACGTTTAAATGAAAAGTCCAGAAAGTTCAGAAATACCTAAACTATAAACACGAAATGACAGGTTAAATCGTAGTTATAAAAGTCAATCAGCTGCTCATAGTATTATTATCGTTAAGTGTTGCCAACCTATTTCCAAGCGTACACGGATTACGTGCATAATAGAACCACGCTGTTTTGTGTTGTTTCGTTGGAATCCTGATGTGCGGCAAAGTATAAACCGTACGGCAAAGTATAAATATGCAGCAATTAGCAGCTTTCTGTACTATAAACAGTACAAGGAAGCCAACTTTGTCGGGTGACTGTAGGAAAAAGAAGAAGAAGGTAGCTTATTTTTTTTTCATTTTATAATAATTACTACTGAGCGGTTTCGTCTAGAATTTTTATGGTATCTTTCCTGTGGTGTCATAATTATTTGTGCAAATTTTAAACTTAATTACTCCAATGTTTCTTGAGTTTTCGAGACATTAACAAAGTGACAAACTGACAACTAATCTCCGACTCCACTATACACGATACATAGATTCGTTCTTCGTTCACTCATCTACTACTTGCAGATTGATTCAATGCGTTTTTACGAAAACCTACAAAAAATGAGTGATTTGTATATTTTTGCTGTATAGTGGGTAAAAAAGCTCCAACATTACATCTCATTTATGGGCATTTATGGAGAAATAAGGAAGTTATGGCATAACGACAAAAGGAATCACTTTAGAAATCATAATACAGTACAGTATTAACCGACCAGTGCGAAGCATTCGCACTGATCCCTTCTCAAATCTTACGTTGTTATGAAAAATTAGGCAGTCTGCGTTTTAGTGAATTTCCCTATAGGGAAGTAGCTATTACCGTGGGTGGCACGGTAAGACCTAGGCCCGGGACCAATTTACTTTTTCATTTTGATTTCCATAGAGACAAAAACACCATTCGTTCAAAATTTTAAATATGTACGCGATAACTTGAGTAATCGTTGTCCGATTTCAATGAAATTTAGTTTAAAGGTGTAAGTCTGGATAAACTTGAATTAGTTCACGTACCAGCATGATCGGACTCAAAACACAAAATTTCCGGAGAAAATTCAAAAAATTTTAAATTTAAAATTCATGTTATTCTTATGGAGAATATTGTAAAATGTTGTAGTTTGCTTGTTTTTTGGATACATTTTAATCAAACTTGGCAAATTTATTTACTTTATACTAAGCTCTTAATATTTTACTAAAACCGACACTTTATTAGCCTCCCTGTAGCAGCAAACCTAGGTACTCGTTAAACCTAACGTTATTTAAATAGATTTGATTGAAAATCAATTCAAACAAATGAAAATTCGCTTAGTCGGCAGGTTTGCTGAGGGGGTATTTGAAATTTCCAGCAACAGTTTAATGTAAACAACAACGACCTAATTTTCGAGTTTCAGCAAAACGTAAGAAAATTCACTCACACTGTTTCAATTCATTCGCAAGAATGAGGACCAGACTTACGCAAACATCAAACATCGTTTGTTGTGTAGTATTTCCAGTAAATTGGGTCAGTGGTTGCCGGCGTGTGTGTCGGTTGGCTATACTGTTTACCAACACATGACTCAGCCAGATAACAAGACTACCTGGCTGATAAGGCCTTGGCGAGGCTACGGCGACGCGATCAGTGTGGCAGTGGCCGTGGCGACGAGCAGACGACAGTAGTGAAGTGATCAGCAAGGCTGTTAACATGAAGACGCTCGCTAACACCGTTCGGCTTCACTTCCGCCAAAGGAGGTCCTCACTTCCGGATTGTGAGTAAATCTTGTCTTGGATGATCTAAATTTGACTTGATTATTTCGAGTCATGTCTTGAATTGTGGAATGAGAGGTTGGTTCGTGTTGAAACATGACTTGCATGAATAAAGCACTTGATTTAACTTTCTTACCCTTATCGTTATGATCATATACCTACATTTATTGTTTATGTAATTGTTACACAGATCAATAATTAAACAAATTAAAATTCGGTTCCTCTTTTAATGCATTAATTATCAATTAGTTCACTCAGTAAATACATACGATATAACCAGCAATAGTTTATGACTATTAAAACGGTTTTGATTCTATTTTCGAGTGATGATTAAATAATTCACATATAATATTCTTATGCGTAACAAATTAGCGTAGGACATTCAATTTGGTTTGTAATCCAACATTTAAATGTTTAGCTGGTATTGTTGTGAAATGCATAATTTTAGTTCTTACATTTTGTTGTTGTTATATTCTGTGTTTTAATGATATATTTGTATACGAAGAGTGTTGATGTTGACATATTGATTACTATTTATCATGTTAATAAGTTTAATAAATAGTTGCAATACTTAGCATTCACCATTATGCATTAATTGGATAAGGGGTGTAAAATTACACATTTACAACAACCGATTTTTAGTCGAATAGATAATTTTATTTTCCGGCATTTGATGTCAAATTCCTAAATTAAGATTTTAAAGAAATAATTTTCAACTAAAAACTGTCTTGTTATATTGTATTGCATTGACTATAAAATGGCTTCAGTTTATTTTGATTTTATAAAACTCTTCAAATGTATATATTGCATATCTGAATACCGATAGTTCAACAATAGAGGTTCTGGATCATTAAATTTCTAATGTGTTGATAAGGGCTTCGACTTCTCCCTTATCAAATCGACTACTTGTATTAACTTGCAGGTTACGTCCTAATAATTCTGCAAATCATATACTTCGTTTTCAACTAGTACAGAGAAGAACAAACATAATATTTAGCAACAAAACACACCAATCCAAAAATATTGACACTTTCGTATCAGAAATTAAAATTATCACCGGAAATTTATTGGAATAATGTCTCCAAAACATTTCTGGCCAAAGTAATATTTTAGTAGGTGGAATCGGAACCATCGAGTCAGTGCATTATTACATACTGTAATTACCATTGGCCATTTGTGGGATTCGAACCTAGTCCAGTACAAACGTTCAGTACTTTCAAAAGGATCAACCATGTTCGTATGTAATAAATTAGTTGCCAATTTAAAATAAGATTTGTAAAGTGCATTAAATAATTACATCTTATCTTATACAGAACCACCTAAAAATGTTGGCAAGTTTGTATTATCAATCTTCTTTAAGCGCGAAAATGGTCTGAAATACTAAAAAAACAATTAAATTATTTATTTATTTACATCCTAACGGCATCAGATGATTCATACAGAAAACAGCTGATCATTTAATTCTGATTATTCTAACATAAGAAATACGACAAACAATATAATAGGCTAGTAAAAACAACAACAGAATAATAATACAAAAAAATGTAACAATATTAAATTATGTAACAATATTATTAGTATATTATTATATTACAGGAGGGATAGTATGGAACAGAAAAGCTACAAATGTGAACTAATCCAGTTACGTCAATTGCACCGGTTACAACTGCAGTTAATATATTTTATTTTATTAGAAAATAAAATACATATTTTTATCGAATTTCCCATATAAGCTATTCCCATATTAAGCTGTTACCGTAGGTCTCAGGGTAAGACCTGGACCCGGAACCGATTTACTTGATCGTTTTGATGTCTCCAGAGGCCGAAAACACCATCCGTTCAAATTCATATGTGTCTGTTATCCTCAACAAACATGTTAACCTACGTTTATTTCAACGAGTTTGCGAACCAGCATGATCAGACCATGGAACGGGGTTTTATGGATGGATTTATGGGGTAAAAATTATTTTTCCTCATTTTGACCCTCAAAACCCAACATTTCCTTATTTCTCTACAGACCTTTTTAAAGAGCTTAAAAACAAATAATTCAGTATATCAAAGTGTTTGTGTACGGTTATTGGTTGCGGAGAAAATTCAAAAGATTTTAATTTTAAAATTCTCATGTTATCCTTAAGGTGAATATTGTAAAATGTTGTAGTTTGCTTGTTAATGGATATATTTTCATCAAACTTTGCAAATTTATTTATTTTATACTAAGCTATTTATATATAAAAAAAAACACACTCTTAATTAGTTTCCTTGTAGCAGCAAACCCAGGTACTCGTTAAACCCAATGTTATTTAAATAGATTTGAAAATCAATCAAATGGAAATTCGCTTAGACGGCAGGTATGCTGTGGCGGGGGTATTTTATTTATAGTACAGATTTGCCCATAAACCCCATCAAATAACGGGAAAATCGGATAAAAAAACTGCTTGAACGATATAATTTAGTACGTTGTAGTACTCTTAGCTCTAAAAGGAGCTACTTTCTGCTGTAGAATTTACGGTTCAATAATTATTGCAATTCGTTTGATTTTACCATTAAAATATTTTCTCCCACCACATACCCATTATAAGGGTTGTTGACAAGGTAATAAAAAAAAGAATGTGTCAGTTTGCCGATTTGTAAACGGTTTTTGCAGTTAGTGAATAAATATTCTGAACTTTTGCGCCCGCATTTTACTGAACGCAAAATAACATCTGCATCTGTTTTGCGTCTCATCCCGAACAGGCGTCGGCCTTGATTTCTTCTCAGTTTGTTTATGTTTATTTTTCAACTATTTATTTATTCATTCCAACGGTGATATACATTTTTATGTGTTACAAACCAATGAAGTATAAAAACTCAGTATGGCTCATTGTAAACATTTGCAAAAAACAAATCGCGTTTGAATAACATTTGTGTGGTGAAAATTTTATTTAAAATATATATTACTACTGTACATGTACAAAATAAAAATTTTAATTTAGCTTATTAACAGTGATTATTACAATGCAAGGCAGACAAGAATTTATAACTAGCTGGACTAAGGGAATGACTGGAACAAATCGTTAATTAACTAGAATATACACCCATTTATTTTCCATCTGTACAGTTGATTTTTAAATTGCAAACTTTTCGTTTTTACTTCCTGTTCCTAGATTCTTAGGACGACATTAATAATGTTTTGATTGTTAAGATCAATTGTGAAATTTGTTGGGGTCCTTACTCCATCCTAAATAAGTATATTAAAATAAAACTTGTTTTCTGCCTGTCAAATTAGTAAATGACAAACCATAACTGTTGTAAAAGTTTCTTAAATAATTGGGATTAAATATTAATTGGGATTCTTCGAGTACGTTTTTTTCCTACATAGCAAATCAAAAAGGTTTTACTCATATTGTATGAGTAAAACTTGTTTGTTTGTTTGGAAAATTTGTTTGCTGTTAACAAGTTTTAGCCCCATCACAATTTTGGGGCGTTGTTAATTTTATCTAAATTTGTATATTGCCTAAAAAAGGGTTACCCATTGTAATGTTTCAATTTAACTTACCGGTAACCGTTTTAGGCTATGTTATGCCTAGGCTAGGTTAGGTTTTTGTTAGATCAATTGTAATAAAAGTAGGCCTATCTCGCATTTTTCATAGTTTAAATATTTCTTAATGTTTATTAAATTACTAATGTAATAATGTTTCTAATAGTTTATTTTGTGAATAGTGGTAACCAATAATATTTCTACCAACTTACCGTACCTAGGTTAGCTTACCCACTTACCGTATTAAGGTTAGGTTATCCATTGTAAATATTTTAGCAACACAATAACAGTTATAAATGTACATTACCACTTTATTTCACACACAAAGGGATAAACATGTAAATATAACAACTAACTAAATAATTAAAACATATTTATTTATTACATTTATTGAATGTTTGTTTACTAGTTTACAATAGCTTCTCTGACAGCTCGAGCTCCAGCCGACAGCAGCTGTTGGATCAAGAACGATCAAGTGGGCAGCGATGACGTCAGGCTGCCGGAAAAGGAAGATAACTTTTGGTGGAAACATCTGGGTTTAAAGTTCTAGAACATTCCATGGTCTCCATAGCAACCAAATCGGGTATAAATACAGCAGTCCACGGGCCAGTCTTCAGTACACTTCACGAGTTGACAGTCAGCGCTGCGGGTTTAAACCATTTGCCAGGCGCAAATAAAACAATAATCAATAGTAATCAAATTTGTATTTGTAAAAGAAAATAAAAACAAGGAATAAGGTCAGTCCCAATTGTGTACTCATTTGAAATATTAATAAGGTAATTTGAATTAGACAAGTAAGTAGGATAGAAATTAGAATAGGCCTACACACAAAGCATTTGTCAGGCCCCGGCAAACCGCTGGTGCTGCGGCTTTAACACTCAACACTCACGCACATTCGGTAGTTGTCTGGCACCTTTTTTAAAGAGTGCTGCGACCGAAATAACACTTACAAGTAGTGGCACTAACAATTTAACTCCATACAAAGCATTTGTCAGGCCCCGGCTGACCGCTGGTGCTGCGGCTTAACACTAAACAAGCACGCATATTTGGTAGTTGTCTGGCACCTTATTTTAAGAGTGCTGCGACCAAATAACACTTACACATAGTGGCTCTGTATAACTTAACATTATATCTCACATTTCACACATTCTGCAGTTAGGATAAAATCAGTCACGTGGCAAAGAACCCATCCCTGAGAAACTTTGATAAAAATACAAAATAAAATAAATACAATTAAATGAAATTCAGATTTAAGTCATTGAGACGTTACAAATTGGCGCCCAACGTGGGGCTTGATTTTATCACGGTTATAGATTATTTTAATGCAGAGATATAATTTACGAAAATATATAACACCTACACTTAGAGCACAAGAAGCACACTTAAATATGAGCCGGCAATTAGACGAAATCAATATGGAAGAATTATTAAACCCTAATAATGACAATCCCGGAGATGACTTATACAGTATCGACAATCAAAATT